CCTGCGACGGGCGGGGCTCGCGTGCCGGGCGAGGCGCGCGGACGCTGGCGGGGCGGGGAGCTGCGCTTCGGCAGGAGCGGCGGCCGCTTGTGTCTCCCTCCCTCTCTCGAGCGGGAGTCGCGCTCTGTCGCCCAGACCGGAGTGCGCGGCCGCTCCCGGCCGCTCCCGGCCGCTGAGCCGCGCCCCGCCGGGCTCCGGCGATCCTTCCGCCTCCGGAACTCCGGGCGCGCTACCACGCCCGGCTGGTTTTCTGATTTATTGGAGAGACGAGGTCTCGCCAAGGCGCCCAGGCGGGTCTCGAACCCGCGGGCTCAGGCCATCCGCTCACCTCGGCCTCCCAAAGGCGCAGGATGACAGGCTGGGCCACCGAGCCCGGCTCCTTTGTATTTCTTTAGACCAGAAAACAGCAAAAACACTGACTAACCCTGGCACCAAGACTTGTTTTCCACTGGGTGCCCACAGGCATAAGGACAGGAACGGCAGGCGCTGGGGAGTCCTGAAGCGGGGAGGGAGAGAGGGGCAAGGGCTGAACATCTGCTTGGCCTTGCTCACCCTCTGGCGATGACTCACTGGAAGCCCAACCTCACTGTCACACGGTACACCCACATAACAAACCTGCACGCACGCCCCCTGAATCTAAAATTTATTCTAAAAACTTACCTTCAAAAATTCTGCAATTAGCTGGGCGTGGTGGCGCACTCCTGTGTTTCCAGCTACTTGGAAGGCTGAGGTGGAAGGATCGCTGGAGCCCAGCAGGTCAAGGCTGTGGTGGCCCTGAGCATGCCACTGCACTCCAGTCTGGGCGACAGAGTGAGACTCTGACTCAAAAAAAAAGCAAAGACAAAACTGTGAGATACATATTTATTTTTAAAATTGGCTTGTATTGAGTATCACTAAATTCAACATGAGATTTTATTTAAATGATGTTGCTACTTTATATTGTATCCATGAATATAACCTGACTCTCTTAAAACATTCAAGATGTATTTCTTCTGAGATCATCAAAATCATAATTATGTCTAGGTGAAAAAAATATAGGGATATAAGTTAGGATTCTTCAGTACTGCTTCTTTATTTTAATTTTTTAAATGAGTAATACATATGTTTCAAAAACCATTGTTTCCTCTTTTTTTCCCCACAAAATTTAGCATATGGTAGACTGCTGCATCTTGCTGTCTTCAATTACTATAACCGACAAATCAAAGTATGGTATAGAGAATTTCCACAGGCATATATATATATAATAGATAAAGTTCATATAGATACGCATATAGTGTGTGTGTGTGTGTAAAATGTGTAGTTCAGGTTGAGTACCCCTAGCCTAAAATCCAAAATGCTCCAAAATCTGAAATTATTTGAGTGCTACCATTACACTTAAAGGGTTCACTGGAGCATTTCAGATTGCAGATTTAGGGATGCTGACCTGACAAGTATAATGCAAATATTTCAGTCTGAAAAAAGTTCAAAATTCTTCTGGTCCCAGGCATTTCAGATAAGGAATACCCTCGTTCCATGTATGCATTGCCATAATTTGCATAACCAGCACACTTTGGACATTTGGGTGGTTGCCAGTATTTAGTTATTCTAAACAATGCTGCAGTAAATAACCTTTTATTTATCATTTCACGTGTGCATGAGTCTGTGTTTAAAGATAAATTCCCAGCATGGGTTTGCTGGGTCAAAGAACATACACACTTGGGATTTAGGTAGAGACTGTCACATTTTCTCCTAATGATAGGCTTGTTTCACTAAAGCCATATCCACAGGGAGTATCATGATACTTGGGTTTTTGGCCATTCTGATAAGTGAGAAGTGGTGTTTCTGTAGCTTATTTTTTAATTTATTTTTGTAGACATAATATATTCATACAATCCCAAATTCAAGAAGTATAAAAGAGTATACAGTGAAATATCCCCTCCATTGCCATCCCCTCTTGCTGTACTCTAGCGATCCAGAACTCCTAGAAATCAGCCATTATTGCCAGTTCTTTCTGTAGCCTGCTAGAGTTATTTTATACCTGTGCAAGCAAACGTGTGTGTGTTTGACCTTATTTAAAAGGTGAGTGTATACACGGTGTTCTGCGGTTTTCTTTTTTCACCTAATCTGTTTAGGGGGTCACAGAAACATAAAAACTTTTTTAAAAGAATATTTTGGTTGGTCCTCAGGTGAGCTGGACCCAGAGAGAATGGGCTCCGGAATTCAGTATGGAGATGCTGCCTTGAGACAGCTGAGGTCGCCACGGCGCTCGCAAGCCCCAAACGCCCAGGAGTGTGGTTGCTAGGAGCCTCAGGGGCACAGAGGTGAGTGCAGACATCACTGAGGGAGCCCCTGAAGGCTTGTCTGCAGAGGTCCCTGACCACCTTTCACAGCTGTGGTGTGAAACGAGAGAGAGGTGATCCCGCAAGTTACAGCTCTGACGGAAAGAGTTTACACTCCTCAGGAATTCTCATGCTCTTGTTCAGAAAGAAAGGAAGGGTGGGCAGTCATTGAGGGAGCTGGTGAAATAGCCTCTCCCTGATGTCAGTGAGGAGGAGACTTTCACGGATAAATTGAGGTCTAAACAAATGTGCCTTTTACTAAAATAGGAGGCTCATTTATGAAATTGGCAAATGACTCCATTTAACTTTTTAAAGCTTCCTATATTTTCCCATTTCCCCCGGTGGACTTTTTATTTGTAGTCGATGTCAACTGATAGACACAGGCAAGTGTGAAACAAAAGATAAAATATTCACTAGTTCCCTTTTGAGCTTTTAGCTATAATTTGTTTTTACATTTGCGGCTATGTTCTTAACAGTTACGTTCTTACTGTTTTTTAGGTGCTCATACAGTGGTCTTTGGGACACAGTTGTTGGATCCTGAGGAATCTGAAGTTTTTTACCACCATCTTTTTCTACTCTGTATAGAAGTAGATTTGTGGGGGAAAAAGAATTCGGGCTGTTCTGCAAGCTAGTGAAAGTGGCAACTCATATAATAAATCTCAGTCAATGGACAACACCGTTAGATGTATGCACGTATGTAAAAGTTTTCCGTCCCGCATTGCCCTGTCACCTTTAGTTGAAAACATGGTATGTACTGAATATAGCCAGTCTGGCTCCATGGCATGGTATTTGATGTATGATATGATGGAATGTTGCACTAAATGCAGTTAATATTTTATTTTTTTTAATCATAGGAACTAAAATGTGTTAATTGTGAGGTGTGCTTTTCTCATCATGTCGGTTGTATTGCACAATTGGTTATATTTATGACCTGATATTCAAAGACTCTGGCATTGATAGCCGGTGCATTTCTTATTTAATCCTGTTTACCACATTCTACATGGTGTTTTCGTGATCCACACTTGAAACGCTAACTAGGTCAGTAGTCATTCACTAACATACCAAAATAAAAGGAAAAAGGGAGTTTTTCCATGAACTTTTTACCCTGTCCAGCCCTCCATTGATTTGAAAGTACCTTCATCCAGGTTAATCCAGGAAGTATAACTGGAGTACCTGCTCTGTTTTAGGCTATCAGGTCAGGACTGAGGATTCTGGGACCTTTAGCCAAACCCGCCAGCGGGTTTGATACTCTACTCTCAGCGGTTGATAAAATGCCATGACCATGGAAGCTGGGGCCAACTGTGTGTCTCCAGTTTGCTGATCGCTGGTCTTGCAGCTAGAAAACACATTGTACTTTGCTTTTCCTGGAATTCAGTATAATGGCATCACTGCCTGCTTTTCAAGTTATTTTATGTTCATTTTAAGGAAACCCACTAAATCTAGTTAATATCAAAATGATACCACTTGTTGAGATGTTTCTTTGTAGCTTTTGCTGAACACTTAAATGCCTTACTACGGTTATCAAGTTGACATGTTTTTAATCCATATAAGGTATATTGGGTATAGTGAAGTATGATGTACATTGTTTCACAGAGACTTGTTCATACATTTTAAAATGTCAATGCAAAAAATATGTAATGGAACCTTCTTTAAAGCTGAAATACAGCATTATTTAAGTCTGAAAGGTTAAAAAGCATCCTTCACCTTATATATGTTCTTCTAATGTCACTTTTTAGCTGCAGACTAGTAAATTTAATTAATTTTTGGTTAGTAGATGCTTACTGCTTTTGTCTTATTTTAATTGACAGAGTGCAGAGACACAAACTCTGGGAAGTGATTTGGATAAAAATATGTATCTGTTTTTCTGTATTTTCAGTTTTGCTTTTTCGATGCCTTGAACATTTTCTTTTGAAAAGTCAGAACCTGAAGCAAATTCTCAGACTGAACTACTTCTTGGATCTCACTGTAAGAATGTTTCATTCAGTGTCTCATTTATGATAGATCTGCAAGCTGCTCGCTCCTGAACAGCTTTTTGCATGGGATAGGAGCATGTCCATTCTAACATATCAGTTTATTCAAAAGCGAAGATTTTTAAAATAAGATAAATGTAAAGTTGTTTTATAAATGATCCTGTTAATTAAACCACAGATGCCATATATCATTCCACATCCTTTGACCAATAAAAGTTGCTGGAGAACCAAACCATGGTGGTTCTTAATAAGGCTTTGCCTTTAGGAAAAATTAAGAGGGAGATGATTTGATCCTGGTCATTTAGTAATACATGTGATAAGTACATTTCTCACAACTCATGAAATTTTCAGGAAGCTCTTAATTTAGATTCCTAGAAAAGTGATTTCGGTCTTCCTAGAAAAAGATTCTATACAAAGGCCATTTAGACTTAAGATTGTAATTCTTTTACAGTCAAGCACTTCAGGGAAAATGAGAACACCACAATTTGGGATTCAGTAATGGTTTTGGTGAAAACATTACTTGTGGCTTATATAAGGGTTGCTGAAATCTTTAAGAATATTGATTCCTAGCAGATCAATAGTATTATTTAGGGTAAAGAATCTGATACTAAAATTAGAAACCTAAATGATTTATAACTTATACAGTGACACAGCAGATTCCTTATTTTCTTTCACCTTTATCTTTTTTTAAATTTTTTGGTGGGGAGAATTAGAGGTACTTTAAAACACTGACGACTTTTTAATATTTTTTGTACCAGTTATGAAGTATCTCTATCCTACTCCATCTAGCTATTCAGGTACATACAATCTGAGTTTGTCCCAGTTGTGACTTGGTTACTTCCTAATTGTGTTTACTTCTTTAAAGGGTTCTTTTTAGAATTTTAGAGGAATGTCTCTGAGAACACAAGACTTAACATTCTCAGTAAGCAGGACAAGTAACTAAGTTGTTGACCACCACCTTCAGAAAAGACTGCTTCCTCGTATGCTGTAATGTGGTTGGGGAATCTGGATTTTCTTTTCTTTTTTTTTGGAGTCTCACTCTGTCGCCCAGACTGGAGTGTAGTGGCCGCTCCCGGCCACCGCAGCCTCGACCTGCTGGGCTCCGGCAAGCCTTCTGCCTCAGCCTTCCAAGTAGCTGGAACTACAGGTGCACGCTACCACGTCCATCTAATTTTTGATTTATTATAGAGACGAGGTCTCACCAAATTGCCCCAGTGGATCTCGAACCCGCGGGCTCAGGCAATCCACTCCCCTTGGCCTCCCAGAGCGCTGGGATCACAGGCTGAGCCACCAACCCTGGCCTGCGTTTTCTTTTAAAAGAACATTTAAATACTTTTAAATTTTTTATCACGGAGATTTTCAAATAGACGTAAGTACAGAGAAAAGAGCGTCATGAAGCGGTCTTCCCAGCTCCAGCACTGTCTGCATTATGCCATCTTGTTTTGTCCATCTTTACCCCACGTCTTTATACTCCAGTATTTGGAAACATCCGAGGCATCTGCCATTGCACCCAAAAATAGGTCAGTACACATCTCTGACAAGAACACTTTCTAAAATTTTATGAAATTGCCATGCCACTGGGAGCCTCCAACGCCAAAGCTATTTGTGTTGTTCTTATCTTGCTGGCATATAAAGTTGGTTTTCTGGTATGTACTAGAAGAGCAAAAGGTGTGTCTTTTGTGAAGCAGTGGGAGGTAGCGGCTTCCCGGCATGCAGCCAGTGCAGAAGAGCTATTCCCTGGCCCAGGACATTGCCCCCTCAGCCTGCCGGCCTGGCGGGGGGCAGGACCTCCTGCCGTGCCAGTTGCCAGACACTCTGCCACTGTGGTAACACAAGGCATATTTAATTTAAATCATCTTACCAGTCTATATTCCATCTTGAAGAACAGTTTTATTGTAAAGAAAACATCTAACTCGGACACATGCTCTCCTGGACCGTCTGCGACGTGTGAGGTGGCTGGCGCTGTCTCTTAGGCTGGCAGTCATCTCATGTACCCCTCCGTGCAGGAGAACAGTGCCATTGAGTTCCCAAGGGAAGCTCAGTGAAAAGTGGATGAGTCTGTGCTTCCGCAAGTTCTTCTCTGATTTCTGCTTTTTTGTTTTTTGAGTTGGAGTCTCACTCTGTCATCCAGACTGGAGTGCAGTGGCCGCTCCTGGCCACCGCAGCCTTGACCTGCTGGGGCTCCGGCGATCCTTCCGCCTCAGCCTTCCAAGTAGCTGGAGCTACAGGCACGCGCTACCATGCCTGGCTAATTTTTGATTTATTGTAGAGATGAGATCTCACCAAGTTTCCCAGGCAGGTCTCGAACCCGCAGGCTCAGGCTATCCACTCACCTCGGCCTCCCAAAGCGCGGGATTACAGGCTGACCCGCCGAGCCCGGATTTTTCTGACTTCTTGATGCCATGTGTAGACTCCATTTGGAAGAAAACCAGAGTGAAGGAAACAAACTTGCCAAATTTTGGAGTAAGTCACGTTCCAAAACGCCATGAAATTCACCATGTTCTCTAAACATTTAAGGACCAAGTAACTGTGTGTGATGGTGAAAGTGCTCATTTTTGCATGTGTTGGGGAAACCCTCAAATATATTTACACTGGATGGGAGATTTTATGATTAATTCAGGGAAAGTCCACCTATCATTTTCTTTTCCAGAAAAGTCATCATATTGATTTGTGTGCCCATAAAGGTATGCGCCAGGCCCTGATGCTGTTCCTACGTCCTGGGAAAGTGGTGCTTTTGTAGGACGCTCAGGAGCTCATCTCTGAATGCCCTGGCTTTCTTGTGGCCTTGCTGCCCTCGCAGGGACTCTGTGACCTTCACCTGCAGTGACCACCAGCCAAGGCTGTCAGGCCGCAGTCCTGTTGTCCTGAGGGTGCAGTGCAGAACTGCTCTGCTGGACAGCGCTCCCGGACGTCAGCGTGTGCAGGCACGCCTGGCTCCCGTGACTCCTTTCCTGATCTGCTTTTTGGTGTTGATCACATTGCTCTGTGTGTTGTCCTTGCTTGGCTTCTCCACTGGGCCAGGACCGCCCTAGGACAGGGCTGCTTCCTGAGCCCCTTGCCTGGCACGGGCGAGTGACTCCAGTGCTTCTGGAATGGACAGGCAGTCACAGAGCCACCTGTGTCCCTAAGACTTCCCACTGTGTGTGGATATCGCTCGTGCGTCCTGTCTGCTGCAAAATCCCCAAAGGATGCTGCGAATTCGTTCCCTCCCTGGGGCAGCACACTCCCGTTGGGAATATTGACCGTCACAGTACGTCAGTACCACTTATTTTACAACACGAGGCTGAGAGTTTTTCGTGTTTGGCTGCAAGTTTGGTGGTAAGGGTTAGCATTTATCAGGAATTCTGTCTGTACGGTCTTGGGTCTTGTTGCCTCACGACAGAGCCTGAGCGCAAGCAGGTGTGACCGCTGTGACAAATCCTCGCGGTATTTGTCATTGTGAGGATGATAGCTCTGGCTGGAGGGCTAGAGGAGGCCACTGGGGATCGAGCTGTCCAGAAATCCCTGGTCTAAGGTAGAGGCATGATCAGCTGTTGTAGCATTTTATGAGTCATAAATGCTCAGGGGTGAAGTGTGTTAAATCTCTGAATTCTGTTAACTACACACTCAGTTACAATTGACTGGTACCACATTAAAGCAGAGGCCAGTGTCAGAATTCAATCTTGAAAACTTGGTAACTCTTCTGGCTTTTCAGTGAGTTAGAGGAATGGCAGATAACAGTTTTCCTGTCCTAATTTTAAGACGAAGTGACTTCACCTGACATTGCAATTCTGACATGTTCTTAGGTTATGTTTTTCTCTGATTTCCCATACGTCGGCCCCATGTGAGCCATGAGAACGCAATTCCTGAGTGCTCCCTCTGCATGTCTTATCGAGGTAGGACTCGGTGCCCCCTTCTTTTCTTCTTTAAAGAAAGCAGAGTTTAGCCGGGCTCGGTGGCTCAGCCTGTCATCCCGTACCTTGGGAGGCTGAGGTGAGTGGACTGCCTGAGCCCACGGGTTCGAGACCTGCCTGGGTAACTTGGCAAGACCTCATCTCTACAATCAATCAAAAAAATTCGCCGCGCGCCTGTAGTTCCAGCTACTCAGAAGGCTGAGGCAGAAGGATCGCCGGAGCCCAGCAGGTCAAGGCTGTGGTGGCCGGGAGTGTGCCACTGCCCTCCAGTCTGGGCGACAGAGTGAGACTCCAACTCAAAAAAAAAAGCATAGTTTAAAGGACAAACTGCTAGACAACTTTCAGTTTAACCAGAACCTCAGAGTTAACACTATCCATTTAAAATGTCTATCATAGTAAAACCTGGAAGGGGAATAGCACACCTGACAACTTAAAAATATTCTCACTGTGAGCATCTGGTTTAACTTTCAGAACAGCTCTTGCAGGGGCTACAGCAATTATTAGGCCCATCTCAGAGCTGGGGCCCAAAGCACAGTGGCTGGGGCTTGCTCAGGGCCCTTCCGGGACCAGGCCCCACTGCCCAGCAAAGAATTGGGGTTTCTGTTAGCTGCGATCTTTTTTTCTCAACATTTTATTATGAAAATTCTAAACACACATGGTTAAGAACTGTAAACAGTTCTGATTTTAACTGATAAGAGTATTTTACGTTTTAAATATCTTTAGTGCTAAATCCTCAGGAGTGGGCAGTGCGTTGATATTACTGCTGTGAAACCACATTTCAATTTTTTTTTCTTTAAAACTTGCAAGTTTAATAACTTGGTTTTTTTTCGGACTCTGCTTCCAGTAAATTGAATTCAGTACATTGAAATTATTATAACTTGGAAGTGCATGAATGAAAACACATGCCAATCGGTTTTCAGAATTTTTGTCACAGTCTTCTTTCCTCAGCATTTAAAGTTATTGAGTGTGAAGCTGCTGGTGAGTTGAGTCTTTTTCTTGTCAAGGTACCTGTGAGGCCTGTGTTGACGGGGAGGCCTGTGCCTGTCTCGGGAGGTTGGCCTGCACCCTGTAGGACAAGATCTGCCTTCCTAGCCGTGGCAATGTAGTATATTTATCCCAGCAGCCTTCCTGGACTGTCTGCCCATACCCCATTGGCCCAGGCTAGTCTGTACTACTTCTCATCTCTGTCTACTTAGTCCTTGAACAAGAGTAGAAGAAAATGTCACTATTCACCAGTGTATTTTTATTTAATCTGTAACTATCCCGTTATTCTACAGTAGCCGTCTTCTTCTCTTTTTATTTCCAGGAGTAATTTTGGCTTTACATGCTGGCCTGTTGC